TATAGTTAACCAACCCCAGTTTCTATTGTTCCGCATTTCTTTGAGCTTATGTGGTTTCCAATTTTTGCCAAAGTTTCTTCATCCTTAACATAAAATACAATCCATTTCTATAAGTCGATGGGATGCAGACATAGTCTCATATTAGTTAGATTAGAAACGAGGAAGATATTTGGTATAAAGTAAAGAGAGGTACGAGACCTCTGGAGTATGATCCAAAAACAAAACTATACAGGCTTTGGTTCCGAGTGCCCAATATTTGTAGAAATATAGAAGAGCTAGTTGTCATAGCATAAGTTTGTTTGGGTCTTTTACATATGGGTCATGACATGATGTTGTGGAAAATGTCTTTGGAATTTGGGGTTGTGGGATTTTGCTCGAATCTCTTATGTTATGATGCTTGCTCTTGTGTAAGTTATTCATTTTCATCTTTCTTTAATTGCTTATTTAATGTTAAAAAGCTATTTATTGTCCAATATCCTACTCTGGATTTGTAGGCTATTGATGATGATTGTAATCAAACGGGGCAGATGGTTGCAGGACTTCTGAACTGGCCTCAAGGAACTTTTGCTTCGAAGGTTAGCTTCTGATACACACACACACACATATATATATATCATCACTACTTTGGGAAATTTTTACAAGGAAAATGGTGGTAATTGTAATTGTAGATCTGGATTTTAAATATTTGACGAGTTTTTAGATGTCTAATGTTATGGGATCAAACTATTATTTTGGGCCTGGATACCCATAGTTGTTTAAAAAGGAAGAAATAAAGTTATTGATAGGTCTTCTTATGTCTTACAGTGACAGTATATGCTGTAATCCCATAACTGAACTGAGTCGATCGTGTCCATGAAACTTAAAAAATTTCCCTCACAAGTCAATGTGTACTTTTCCTCTCTGCATCTTGATATGTCTTATTATGTCTTACAGTGACAGTATATGTTGTAATCCCATAACTGAACTGAATCAATTCGTGTCCGTGAAACTTAAAATTTCCCTGCATGTCAATGTGTACTCTTACTCTTTGCATAACGGTACACCAAATGCTCTTTCCATTTTTGTCTAGTTTGTACCTGGTAAATCTCTCCTCAAAATTGTTTCACTCTTCATTGGACTTTCGCCACATATGGTTGTGTATATTTGTTATCTGTAACCCCATGCTTTGCCTACTGTATGGCTAAAATTTTCATGACACTGATCCTTCTTTCCAGTAGGTTGTGATAGATATGGAGAAGCAGGCAATTACGGTGGATAGAGAAGTGGACGATGGCCTCGAGACTCTGTGTTTGGACTTACCAGCTGTAATCACGTTAGTTACTTGCATTTACACAATAACTTGACCTGATAAGCCTGCATAGATTCAAGACCCAACTCAATAATTTGAAATGTTGATGTTTCAGATTCAGATTCAGATTTGCTCGTCTTCAAGCTCGAAATGACAAGATTAGGTTTTCTTGTTCTTGAGAGCTCTTAGATAAAGAAAACTAGAATAATTTGCAACTTCACCGTAAATTTAACAGTTTGCCTATGACATGCTAATATTGGCAACCAGAACTAGAAATCAGGAACTCTCATTCTTTAGAAGTCTGGCAACCCTTGTATGTTGAGTTTTTTGAGAGTTCATAAAACTAGTTGTCTGTATAGCTCTTCGATATCGATTTTCTCAATCAATTAACTTATTTAATTCTTCATGTCTTCTCTTTCTTTGCTTGTTGTGCAGAACTGACTTGAGGCTGAACCAACCGAGGTATGCCACGCTCCCAAACATAATGAAAGCAAAATCGAAAGCCATAAAGAAGTTCACTCCACAGGAGTTAAACGTCGATGTGAAGCCGGATTTAGAGGTCGTCGAAGTTACAGAACCGCCAAAAAGAAAAGCGGGTATCATTTTGTCTTCTGTTGATGAGCTGATTGACAAACTCAAAAACGAAGCTCACGTCATTTGATTATTTGATCCGTCTCTTTATAATGCAAATGAACAGTATAAACTATACTTTGGGCTCAATAACAGAATCTCTGTTCTCCTCATCCATAGTTAAAGAGTGCCCTTTGTCGTCCTTGCTTTGGTTGCTTTTGCTTTTCTGCTTAGAACAACATTTCCATACTTCTGAAGTTACTTCTTTCTCTCCTTTTAAAATAACGAAAATTAGAAAAATGGATAAAGATGTGACAAAAGTTTATATATTACCCATGTTTTTTAGTATAACACTTCAAATATAGGGTGGAGATTGAAAAGTAAGACTTTTAAAGGAAGTTATTAGTATTTTAACTGGTTAGCTGTGGTTCCATATGTTTCATTTTTGTCTGTTACTAAAAATTGAGAACTAGAACTTATGTCTCAAAGATTTTTCCCATTTCTGTTTAAATTAGTGTATGTTCTGCTAATTGGATGTGATGATTTTATTTTGTTTTTAGAGAAAGGGATTGTTGTTTGGTGGGATGATATTATCTTATCTTATGTTTCTTTTTTTTTTCCTCTTTTTTTCGTTACTTCCAATTTCAGAAAAAGTAATTAATATTTTATCTAATGAAATTATGCGGACTTCGTTTAATTCAATTAAAATTTTAATGGAATTTAATTAATTTTTTTATGGCATAAAGAACCAACTTCTTATCAATCCAAGTCAGCATTATTATTAAAGTTAAATGATTTATCTATAATCACATGTCCTAATTGTATAATTATGAAAACAGTCTCGTTCTACGTGTATACACAAGATTCAAAAAATTGGCCTTTTTCAAATAGATTTGTATTTAAAGGGCGAAAAATATGATTTTTGGGTTTTAAAAAAACAATTTTCAAGTGGTAAAATTTGATATTTTTTTCCCAATTATTTACGACCATTTCTTTGACACAATTTTTGGGAGAAAGCCGAACTACAAATCTTGTGCCGAACTTTTCCGAAATTAGGTCATTACGAAAATTCTCACTCGCAAGCTCAACGTGTCGTTTGTCTATTGGCAGCCGGATTGCAACTTCGTGGTGGCGGCAACAGCGGATGCGGATCTCCGTTCCGTTCCGACTGCGAGCACGTGCGCCGGACAATGATCCCCAACCAGATAAAAGGACGCGGCGGCGGCTAAATTCCGCTTCCATGGAGATTCCCTCCACTAAATGGTGAATTGGCGGTACACGTGTTCATTTATCACTGGATCATTCAATACCCCCTCATCTTTTTCCCTTTCCCGTCAAAACTTTCTTGAACTTTTCAATCACTTCGTTTTCATTTTGCAAAATTTTCGATCGGGTTGTGAGATTCGTATTCGGAATCGGAGTAGAGCTACGGTCGACGACGCTCTGATCGCGATCCGATGGATCCATTAGAGGATCCGAGTTGTTGGGATTTTCTTAATTACACCTTGTTCGTCGCCGACGACAATATCAACCCTACGCTCGGTCCTTTGTGGTCTAATGATTCAAGGCAACAATACATCAATCACTGCATCCTCTTTTCTCTTTTTGTTCTCTTCTCTGTGCCATTTTGTTTCTTTTAACCAAATTTGGAACGCTTTTGGATTCCCTGTCTCTTTTTCACTAGTATTTGATTAAGTGGAGCATTAACGAATTTAGGGATTTCGTTTTATTTGCAGGGATAGTGGTGCGGAAACCGATGTTTCAGCCGGGCGCGTCGAATCTGAAGAAAACGAAATCTCGCGGAAGAGGTAGTTATTTTAGTCCGCTTCGCTATTAGCTTCTTTCGTTTCTCTCCATTTTTGTATTTGGTTTAAAATCAAGACGTGGTATTCTCATACCAGACTGATACTGGTGATGCCTCTACAGTTTATTGAAAGAAGACTATTTATTTCTATGATTTGTAAAGACTCCTATGTTCTGCCAAAATTCACTACACTAGCGCTTACTTTTGGTTTCGGTAAAATGTAGCTAGTAATTGATCAATGTCTTGCTCATGAACTGGTCCATATTATTGCTGATAGAGTTGGAAGTATCAATTTTAGCTAAAATGTGCTTTCTGGATGTGGATATAGCTTCTTTAAGTTGGAAATAGCACGTGTCTGGGGAAATAAGTTTAATCTATGGTTCTAAAGTTTTGGATTTATTTTTTGTTAGTCAATAAGCTGTCTGTTGTAATAAGATTAACTTTCTGGTAATGCGTTTGAACTTTTTCCGGGAATTTTGCACTTACATCTATTTGTATTTTTCCTGTTTAAAATATTCTCAGGGCACGAGATGGGTCGTGCACTAGATCAACTTCAAAAGCTTGCCGTGAGAAGTTGCGGAGAGAAAGGCTAAATGATAGGCAAGCACTCTGACATCCAACTGTTTCGAAATTTTTCCTGCTTTTCATACTTTTTGTTTGATGATGATGGTATTGATGAGGATTTCTCATCATTATTGATCAGTATATAAACATCTTTTGTTATCCAAAGGAGTTCAGGATTAAAAATACTTGTTTGGATTTTGCACTTCTTATGGGATTTTAGGGGACAATTTAACGCTTCACTGAATTATTAGTATGACATGACATGCAGTAAAGTTTTTGTTAGTAATTTGTGCAGATTTCTAGACTTGAGCCTTGCTTTAGAACCTGGCAGACCTACCAGAACTAACAAGCCGGCCATACTCGACGATGCCATTAGAGTGTTAAATCAATTAAGGAGTGAAGCTGAAGATCTCAAACAAACTAATGAAAAATTACGAGAAGAAGTGGAGTGTTTAAAGGTTAGCTATTTTGAAAGCTGACCATGTTCATATTTTCTAAGAGACGTGCATGGCAACTATACTCTGCTAGAATATCTGTATTCTAATCTTTATATAATCTTTACTCTGTAAATATGATTGGCCTTTTGTATATTTCATACCATTGATAAAATATTTGTTTC